CCCATCCTACAGATGAGGAAATAGCAGTGAATCGATGTACACACAGTCACCTAGCCCGCCTTGCTTTCCTGGGCAGTACTGCTTCTTGGTCAGGACTCGTCAGTGCTCTTGGACAGCACTGCACGTGTTATTCTGCCTATGGTATAAGACATGTTCCTTTTGTCCCAAATGCTTGGGAGAGAGGGTCTACCGAGTTGTGAAAAGTTCTTATTAACTAACTTCGTTAGCGTGACACAAGCTACAATTAATATAATTAGATGTCTTTAAATCTTGAGTGCCTTAAGGACCCGAGGTGTTTGTTTTTCTGTGTTCTCATTTCCAAGGTACAGTTTGGTCAGTGTGGACAGCATAGGGGATCACGCTTTGACACACGATGGAAATTCACGTGAAAAAATTATTTTAACTCTCAGCAAAATGGAAGGAAGGGCTGGGCTCAGTGGCTCACACTTGTGATCCCAACACTTTGGGAGGGCGAGGCGGGAGGATTGCTTGAGCCCAGCCTGGGCAGCATAGCAAGACCTCACCTCTAAAGAAAAGTAAAAAATTCGCCGAGCATGGTGGCACATGCCTATAGTCCCAGCTGCTTGGGAGGCTGAGGTGGGAGGATCACCTGAGCCGAGGAGGTCAAGGCTGGGGTGAGCTGTAATTGTGCCACTGCACTCCATCCTGGGTGACAGAGTAAAACCCTTACTCAAAAAAAAGGAATGACAAACAACCCTGTGGTCGTGGCTTGTGGGTCCGCAGGGGCAGTCTGTTACTGATGTCTTGGTTCCCATAAAGTATTACTCATTTCACTCTTTCTTTTTCCACTGCCCCACCCATGACTATCCAGGTCCCCTGGGTCTCCTGCTTACCTTCAGACACCAGGTTCTCCCTCCCTTGGCGCCATTCTCCTTACTCTCACCTTGGCTGCAGATACCTCTAATTGTTTCTCCATGCTGGGATAAAGTGATCTTTCCAAAACTTTCCTGTTGTTCGTTTCTCAAGGGCTGTCATAACACAGTACCACAGATTGGGTGGCTCAGACAATAGCAATGCATTCTCTCACGGTTCTGGAGACTAGAAGCCTGAAATCAGGGTGTCAGCCAGGCCATGCTCCCTCTGAGACCCCAGGGGAGAATCCATCTTTGTCTCTTCTAGCACCTTGCTGGTGGTTGCCAGCAATCCTGGACATTCCTTGGCTTGTAGATGCATCAGCCTGTTCCCTCACTCCATGACATGTGGCCATCTTCTCCTTGCGTGTCTGTCTCCCTCCTTTTCTTTTGAAAACACCAGTCATATTGGATTAAGGGCCTACCCTGCTCTGGTATTACCTTGTAATAACTTAACTTACTACATCTCTGATGACACTGCTTCCAAATCAGGTCACATTCTGAGGTAGTGGGGGTTAGGACTTCAACTTGTCTTTTCTGAGGGATATAATTCAACCCATAACAGTCCTGCTGCTTGTAGGGTTAAGTATATCCTCCTTGACATGGCAGGCAAGGCCCTCTGTGGCCTCCTCCTAGCATTCACTGCTCACCTGATGAGCCTTTTGTGTGTGGCTATTAGGTGCTTCTTGAATACTCCGTGCCCTCTCACCTTCTTCAGATACTGATAATGCTGTTCTTTCTGGCAAGGAAAATCTCCCTGCTTCCTCACCTGATGAACTCCTGTGCATCCTCCCATCTCAGTTCAAGCATCCCCTGATCTATGATGACTTCTTTGCCTTGGGGATGTCAAGGGCTCCCTTCTTCCTAGCCCGGTCCCTACTTGTCACACTGAGTTGTAATTGTTTACTTATCTGACTTCTGGCAAGACTGGGTTGGCCATCTTGTGCAGAACTCAGCACAAGGCAGGCAGCAGTAGGTGTTTGATAAACCAAGTCTCCCAGGAGCCTGGAGTGGCATCCCACCTGAATCCCTTTGTCCAACCTTCATGGTTTTTCTTGAAGACTAGCTCCGTCATTTATTTAGCTCTACCTTCCTCTGACCACCTCCAGCAAGCATCTTTGCTTCTGGCTGATGTGTCTTCTTTTTTTGAGTCAGAGTCTCACTCTGTCCCCCAGGCTGGAGTGCAGTGGCATACCACCAATCTCAGCTAATTTTTTGATTTATTGTAGTGGTAGAGTCTGCCATGTTGCCCAGGCTGATCTCAAACTCTTGGGCTCAGGCAGCGCTCTGGTCTCAGCCTCTCAAAGTGCTGGGGCTATAGGCATGAGCCACCACGCCCAACCTAATGGGTCTTCTATACTTGCAACTCTTCCAGCCACCAGGCCCCTGCTCCTGCTGTGTCTGCCATCTCCAGTGACTTTCTTCCTTCCTCTTGGGTCATCCGAGCTCTGGGTACCCTCTAGGCATAACTCAAGCGTCAGTTTCTGTAGGAGTCCTGCACTTGCTCAGCCAGTGTGCTCTTTCAAATTCAGACTTCCGGAACATGTTTCCCTAACGCTGAGTCAAAATCTGGGTATGCAAAGATCATAGTCCCGTCTCTGGAAAAAACTCACAGACTGAGGAAATAGACACGTGCTTTTAAAAACAGATGGATGAGTGTTGTAGTCCTGTTATGTGTTCCATGCCCCTGGAGTAGAGTGATGAGAACTAATTTAGTCTCGGGTAGAACGATTTGGCTGTTAAGTTCTCTGTGATTAACTGATTTTTTCCTCTTTTAAAAATTTTATCTGTTTATAATTTTTGAGATAAGATCTCACTCTTTCACCCAGACTGGAGTACAGTGATGCATTTATAGCTCACTGCAGTCTCGAACTCCTGGGCTCTAGCAGTCCTCTTGCCTCAGCCTCTTGAGCAGCTGGGACTACAGGTGCATGCTACCACGCTCAGCTTTTTTTGTTTGTTTGTTTGTGGCAATGGGGTCTCGGATTGTTGCCCAGACTGGTTTTGAATTCTTGGACTCAAGCAATCCTTCTGCTTCAGCCTCCCAAACTGCTGGGATTACAGGAATGAACCACGGTGTCCGACTTGACTGATTTTTATGTACTTAATTATTTTTGTTGGGAAAGGGTTGCAGCCTTCTGGAGGTTCTGAAACTTTCCTGCCCAGCTCCAAGAAAACTCCATGGAAAGGCATTTAAAGCAAAACCCTCAATTTTACATGTGTTTCTTTTTCTCCTTTTTCTGTTAAAGGAAGACGTGGGTGAGACCCACGGAAAATTTGCAGATGAAGGTGGGGTTGGAGTGTGAGTGGAGAGACGGAGTGAAGCAGGGCTAAGGGGGCACAACGGGGAAACGGCACGTTCTCATTCCTCTCATGAACCTCTCATGGACCTCTTTAGAGAATGGCTGCATTGTTTAATCTGAAATAAGTTTCCAGAACATTAGATACCCGCATATAAGTGGGAGCAAATTAAAATACATGTGGCTGTTAGAGCCTTTGCAGTTTTGAATTCCTGGTAGCTGGACTATCCTCAAACAAACGCCTTGAGGAAATATGCAGGTTGTACATAATTACTAACTGATCTTGAGATCTTTGTGCAATCAATAGGACATTTGTCTTTTGAATCCTGTCCTCTTCAACCCAGGACAGAGCTCTGCCGTAGTGAGCAGTGCCTGGAACACATGCTTATTGACCCAAATGGCTGTCACAGAAACGGTGAGAGGAAATGGGCCTAATGTCACAATTCATGAAAACAAATAATCCTCGATTTTAAGCTGCGGGAGACTAGTCCTGCTGAAAAGGGAGGAATGTGGTTTAGTGGTCAGAGCTGAGGAGGTTTGGAGGACTTGTTCTGTTTCATGTTCCAGCGTTAACTTCCTTGTCAACCTTGATTTCTTTCCTATCAATTGAGAACAGAAACAAAGAATGGGTCAGTCCAGTCAATAAGTCCAAGGCTGAACATTTCCAAGGTTTTTAACTGAAATCATGACTTTCCCCAGACAAAGCCATCTTTTCACTTTCATCTTGTAATTTACTATGACATTTAAAAATAACTCTCCTCTTTCTTTTTTTTTTTTTTTTGGTTGGTTTCCTCAGTCAGACAAATATCCCATTCAAGATACCGGACTCCCTAAAGGTATGTAAAGTTAATGGAACTTCTTGAACATGTCATGATTATTTGATTATTTGTATATCTTAAACAAAGCACGAGTCAGAGTAATTTTTCATGATTTAAAATTGTAAAACAGAAACATACCAATAATTAGCTCACGACTTGTTCCATGATTATCTCGGAAATAAATCTTCTTATTAAAATCTTTAAATTATTTCATTGCAAATTATACATTAAATTCTTGTGATGTTTTTAGCAGGCATGATGCAGATAGCCAGGACTCTGGTTTTCAAGGGACAGAAACCTAACTCAAATTTGTTTAAAAAGAGGGGGAGGGACTTAACGGGCCTAGGGCACTCTTGGTGTTGCTGGATCCAAACGTTTAAATGATGCTCTCAGGCTCAGTCTCTCCGTCTCATGGCTCCGTCTTCTTCAGTGTTGGCTCCATTCTTGGGCAGAATTTCCCCGCCCGGAGAAAAAGATGGCACCTCCAGCTCTATGTGGGTGCTGTTGCTCAGGGTGGCAGAAGAGCACCCGTAGTACAATTTTAGAAATGATTGTGATTGGGGCATTTGGAGTCACATGCCCATCCCCTAAATCAGTCATTGCCATCAGGAGAATGGAGGAAGGCCTGGAGTGGATTTTACCCAAACTGCTTTCTTCAAGAAGAATGTTCTGTGGCCAAAGGGACAAGAGATCCTTGTCGGGCTCAAAAGCAAACCCCCAAAGCTGTCTGTTATAACCGCAGACTCATGTTTTAGGCTGACCATAAGGTGGCTAGACCCTGGTCTTTCCTGATCTCTCCGCGGGGCACCCCTTCATGAGGCCAAGCTGCTGGTTGTCACTGTAGAGCATGTACCTTGGACTCTGCTGGCAACCCAGAGACGGGGGGTAGGATGGGTGGTAGAGGTCAGCTTTGTGCACAGTTTCAGAGATGGCAGGGGCATCCGGCTTTCTGGTCACTGTGGAGCGGTAGGTTTTCCAGCACACACCAGTATGGGTTTCCCTGGCAGTTCTCACAGTAGGGGGTAATTGTGGGGAGTCCCAGGGCTAACCTGTGGTTTTCAAGTATTCGCCAACCTTCTTCTCTTCCCTCACTACCCTGGGCCTGTCTCCCTGCCCCTTGAAAAGACAGCATTGGAGTGTTATTCCTTTTCTGTCCTGTGCATGTCCCTGGAGTGCTCGCGGTACAGGAGAAAAGAGGCTTAAGGCCGGTTTTGAGTCCAGACCCCCGGCTAGACTGGAAGAGGCTTCTGGCAAACTCCCTTCTCCTTGTCCTCTCTGTAATGACCTTTGAGTCTCCCAAATCCTACACTCTGGGACTCTATTTCAGCAAGAAAGTGGAAGGAACAAGTCAGGCAACAGGGCAACCTTGGACTGTGGTTCTTAGACTTTATTGATCAGAAGACCCATCAGGGGAAGCTGTTTTTTTTTTTTGAGTTGGAGTCTCACTCTTTCGCCCAGACTGGAGTGCAGTGGCCGCTCCCGGCCACCGCAGCCTCGACCTGCTAGGCTCCGGCGATCCTTCCACCTCAGCCTTCTGAGTAGCCGGAATTACAGGCGCGCGCTACCACGCCCGGCTAATTTTTGAATTTATTGTAGAGATGAGGTCTTGCTTGCCCAGGCGGGTCTCGAACCCGCGGGCTCAGGCAATCCACTCACCTCAGCCTCCCAAAGCGTTGGGATTACAGGCTGAGCCACCGAGCCCAGCTTGGGGAACTTGTTTTAAATGCAGATTCTGGGCCCCTCTGCCCTGAAACGATGATTTGGTGGAACTGGGATGGGGGTCCAAGAATCTGCCTTTTAACTTGCACCTGTGTGGTTGTGATGTGGGCCCCACTCTGAAAGCCTGCCTAAGACGCTTCAGGGAACAGAGAGGAGAGAACCAGATGCAAGGCTCTGGGTGGCCTCTGCCAGTGACTTCAGGCCTCAGAGTCTCTGTTTCCTCATCAGCTCAGTGGAGAGGACAGGGTTAATGTCCTTCCTACCAGGTGACTTGGGGAATCCAGTGAAATGAGTCTAGAATGTTCCTGGCACACGTGGGCACCAGACAGGGGCGGAGGGAAGTCTGGTCAAAGAATTGTGAAAAGTCAGAGTTGAGGACTGTCAAGAGCTCTCAAGCAGCGTGGCTAAAGTGAAACTGTCTTAGAAAAGACCCAAGCCATAGTGGCTGCGGCCTTGCAGTGTCATGGTGTGATCTGTCTCAAGAGCCTTTTAAAAAAAATCACCCTTGCATGTGATTTCCTGTTTTGACAGAAAAAGATTGTTGCCTAGCAACCTGATACTACAGCGGCTGTGCAGTCAGTTTTCTCCTCGAATTTTGAGTTCTACAAAGCCTTAACTAAAGTTGTAATGAGTTTACTTACAAGTAACGTGGTGAAAACCACACCCTAGACCTTTTTTTGGGTTCTTATTCATGATGAACACTATATATATATATATATATTTTTTTTTTTTTAATTGAGTTGGGATCTCACCCTGTCCAGGCTAGAGTGCAGTGGCATTATCACGGCTCACTGCAGCCTCAAACTTGTGGCCTCAGGCAAGCCTTCTGCCTCTGCCTCCTAAGTAACTGGGACTACAGGTGCATGCCACTACTCCTGGCTAATTTTTTTTTCTTTTCTTTTCTTTTTATTTTTTGAGTTGGAGTCTCACTCTGTCACCCAGACTGGAGCCTCGACCTGCTGGGCTCCGGCGGTCCTTCTGCCTCAGCCTTCCGAGCAGACAGACTGGAGTGAACAGTATTAATAAGCACATAATTTCTTATCTCCAAATAAATATATCATGTGTAAATGAATCATGTCTAGAAGTTTCAACCCATGCATTTGCATTCAAGAGTATAACAATTTAATGTCTTTTAATGTCTGCTAGTATTCTTTTTTTTTTTTTGAGTTGGAGTCTCACTCTGTCGCCCAGGCTGGAGTGCAGTGGTACGCTCCTGGCCATCACAGCCTCTATCAGCTGGGCTCCGGCGATCCTTCCGCCTCAGCCTTCCGAGTAGCTGGAACTACAGGCACGTGCTGCCACGCCCGGCTAATTTTTTGATTGATTGTAGAGATGAGGTCTCGCCAAGTTGGCCAGGCAGGTCTCGAACCCACAGACTCAGGCAATCCACTCACCTCAGCCTCCCAAAGTGCTAGAATTACAGGCTGAGCCACCGAGCCCGGCGCTAGTATTCTTCTTTAACATCACTAATGAGGCCACTACCGTTATTAGACATTTATGGTAATTTTCTCATTGAAGTTGTTTTTAGGGAAAGAAAATCCACATGAATTAGTGAAGAGACTAATTTATAGACTTAAAAGTAAATGTAATTTAATTATATTAAGTACAAACTAGGTTTCCAACATTTAAGTGGGTTTTGGGGGGGAGGCAAACTTTATTTAGTAGAGGAGTCATTTGTAATTAGCGTTAATTGCCATATGGCTAAAAAGTCCTCAAAATGTAGTTTCTTAGCTGGGCATGGTGGCTCATGCCTGAAATTCTAGCACTTTGGGAGACGGAGGTGAAAGGAATGCCTGAGCCCAGGGGTTCAAGACCAGCCTGGACAATGTGGCAAGACGCTGTCTCTACAATAAATCAAACAAGTAGCTGGGCATGGTGGCGCACACCTGTAGTTCCAGCTACTTGGAAGGCTGAGGTGGAAGGATCACCTGAAACCAGCAGATCGAGGCTGTGGTGGCTGTGAGCGTGCCACTGCACTCCAGCCTGGGCAGCAGAGTGAGACTCCTACTAAAAAAAAAAAAAGTTTAGTTTCTTAAGCAGATTAAGCATGTTTCACAAAATATCTTTTACACTGCTAGTATATTCCTGCCTTATTCATGGAGCTCATAAGCTCATAAAGCTGTTCTTTCACATGGGCCAAACTAGAGTGGTTTTGAATAATAGTTTTTTTAATATTCAACTGTGGAAATCTAATGTAACTTCAGTGATTGGCATCTATTTTGAGGTAAAATGTGTTAATATTATACCTGTTTTCTCACTGGGCACAAATGCAATAGCTTCCGCCTCCATTAGCCACCCTGACATTAGAGGTTTCAAGGGGTTTATTTTGTCAGGGTTCTTTTCTGATAGTTGTTTTGTGAGTTTGCAGGTCCTGGACTTAAGACTAGCATGAGATTGGGGCTTGTTTTACATCACATAATTCCTGAGATCTCATAGAAGCTGCTGGCTTGAGTGTTGTGAATGGAATGTGACTCTACATATTGAGAGAAAAACGTGTTTGGAAAAAGAATTTGGGTTTTTGATCCACTTATTCATAGTGGGGGAAAATGGCACATAGATAAGTACTCACACACATCAAACAAGATTTTCTCATCTTCATTTTCTCCAGTGTTCCTGCTCTTTTCTTTTATCATTCAAAAACGTTACAGTTAACTCAAAAGTTAAAAAGAAGGAGAGTAGACTGATCCTACTGTTAAAAACGTTGACGAATCTGAGCTTAAACATAGATGCTATTTGGGGAGTTGTTTAGACACTGTGTTGATTAAATGTAGGAGCAGTCGTTCAGTTTGAATGCGTGAGGAGAAAATAAACAAATACTAGGAAAATCACTAAATAACTCAAAAGTAACCTGGGCAACACAGCGAGACCTTGTTTCTACAAAAAATAAAAAACATTAGCCGGTCATGGTGGCCCACGTTTGTAGTCCCAGCTACTCTGGAGACTAAGGCAAAAGGATCACCTAAGCCCAGGAGGTCGAGGCTGCGTTGAGCCATGATCATGCCACTGCATTCCAGCCTGGGTGACAGAACGAGACCCTGACTCAAAAAACAAAAACAAAAATTCAAAAGCAAAAATTTCTGCCCTAAATCTAGCAAGCCAATATATTATATCTTATATAATCCCCTACCTCACAGATTGACAGTGACATCTTGTTAATAGGTGTCCCTGTTCTAATAGGAAACTAACCATCCCTCCCACTTGCAATATTTGCTGTGTGTTTTTTTCCTGTTTGTTCCATAAGTACACTTCCTCCCTCTGAACCTGAACAGAGATCCTCTTGGGACTCTTCTGTTACGAGA